AAATCATTGATGCGATGAATGGAAGGCAGACCTATGTTCCCTATATGACGGCCAAGAAGCCAAAAAAAGTCGGTGGTTTGTCGGTTTGTCAATTTGTTCATTTGTTGATCTATCGTTTTCGAATTTTGAAGGTCGTATTTTTCAATCAACGGGCCGACCCTAATATTTATTAGTTACAATTGTATCTATTTATAAATAATTCTACCTTTTGCATATGTTTAAAACACGATAAAATTAATGGTGTCTTAATGCTATTTATACGTTGTAAATTAGTTTTATGCACCTTATAATATATGGCCCCCATCGGAAGATTTCTTTCGATTATTTGAATTGAATATTTAACGATCCTTGGATTATGATATGTGATTCGAACTATGGGACCGATCGCCCTATGAATTCATTATTATATAAGAATTAGGTTGATGCATAACCAATAATTGAACAGAAGGGGTGGCCATGGGGCCTGGGTTTTGATGTTCCCCAACATTTTAGGTAATATATGATAAATGCATCAATGCCACAATCAACACCAAAAAAACACTGATAAATATGCATAAATGATAAAAAACACATTTAAAAAACACCAAAAAGAACTAAAAAATCTTGGGAAAACAAAAAACAATTCTGGGAGACTCTTGGCTGCACCCCCCAAAATCAGAAAAAAAAACAAAATCACAAAAAACCTTGGGAAAAACAAAAAAACAAAAAATAAAACAAAAAAAGCCAATTCTCAGAGACTCTTGGCTGGACCCCCTTTTCCTCAAGACTTCCCCAGAATTGTTTTTTGTTTTCCTAAGGTTTTTTTGATTTTCTGATTCTTCTGATTTTGAGGGGTCTAAGCAAGAATCTCTCAGAATTGTTTTTTGTTTTTTGTTTTCTCAAGGTTTTTTTGGTTTAGCATCTGAGCTTATTTCTCACCTCAAGGCATCTGTTTTTTTGCTTACATCTGAAACCGTCTGAGCTCAACACTTCTTTTGTCCTTGTCCAAATCTCCATATACAAGTTTGAGTGCATTAACTACTGACTGGTATCAATGCGGTTGCCACTTGCATTTCCAAACAACTTGACATGCAGTTGCGAGGACACTCTGTCCTTTATATGAAACGGTTGGAAATCTTTGCGAGCGTAATTCTGCGCTTGTAGCTCAAGCGTTCACATCTTATTCTGGCGAACTTCTAATTTTAATTTCAAGTCCTTTCTAATTCAACTCTCATCTAATTTCAATTAGTCTATAGTTATAGTTCCAAACAAATTTAGTTAAAGTTCGGTTTTAACTCAATTCCATCTTAGCTCTAACTCAAATCAAATTTAACTCTACCTACTTCTATTCTAGCTCTAGTCTATTTAGTTTAAGAAAACACATGCTACAAAACCCCGTGTTTTACAGTATTTTTTACCATGGAAGTGCTAGGAACAAGACTAAAATTCTTTTTTGTAATAAATAGTTAGATGTATTTATTGTCAATTATATACATATTAAACATGTTTTATGTACAAGCTTCTAATTCAAGAGCTGCCCTCTAGATCTCTGGGGATGATCATGTCTACAATAAAACTATATATAAGTTTTCATTTCAAAAGCTTTCCTCTGGATCTCTGGAAATGGTCATATCAATTTAAACATGCTATATATCAATAATTAGTCTTTCTTTCAAGAGTTTTCCTTTCATGAAAACACATATATATATATATATGGGATATCTATTTTCCCAGAGATCCTGAGGAAAGCTTTGAAAATGCAAGCTCTTGCCCGCAGAAATCTAGAAGAAACCTTTTAACATACAAGGTTTCTATATAGTTGTTTAAATCTAAATATGATTATCTGCAGAGATCTATAGAGAATCTTTTATAGCATAAAAACGTCTATATACAATCTTTCCAAATCTAAACATATTTATAAGCAGAGATCTAGAGGACAATTGTTAAACCGACCACTTTTATGGCCTGCTTCTTTTTCTAATTATCTTGTTCAAAACCATCTGAATGATTGATTGCTGTTTCCAAAACAATAAAATTACCCTGACTCAGGAATACATAATATATTTGTTCATATAGAGTGAGAGCAAGAATAGATATGTATGCTTATATGGAGAGGGGCTGCCACTGAAGCATTTACCTAAAATTTTGGGGAACATCAAAACCCAGGCCCCATGACCACCCGCTCTCTAATTATAGCAAGCATTGGTACCTTATCCATGGTACCGATAAATTCATATTATTTCCTATAATGGTTAGATCCGCCTTAATCTCCCTGGATTTGATTTCGCTTACCTATCATATTCCCGGCCGTATCTTGCAGATTCGCTTGCATATATCGATCCCAACCTTTGGGAAGAACATATTTTGTTTTATGGGATGCTCTTTCAATTTACAAATTCACCCTATAATCTTATGAACACCCATTTGCAAATTAGTTTTTCTGCAAAAAGTTGCCAAGCGGATACCCAATTGGTGTTCTTCCATCTCTCCTATTCATTCATTCTCAAAAATTGTAAATGATTGGCGGCCTGAAGCACGCGAAGCAAATATATATATATATATCCCAGAGGGCGACACATCGAAACCAATCCCTTCCAGTGAGTAATTGGTTGGTGTTTGTTCAGCATGGATGTCTTCGTAATCAAATCAATTGTTCCTCGTCCTCACCAATTCAATTGAATCCAGAAACCATCCACACTATAGCAAAAAATCATGCAAACCCTGATCAAATCTAGGATCGTCCGAAAAACACCCCAATTCAGCTGAAGCCACGCCCTTTGCCAGAACCTTGCCATGCCAATTCCACCTTCATATTGCATTTGTTTTTTTATCATCATTGCATCGTCCCCAATGTATAGAAGATTGATATTCAATAGGGGTTGCAGATTTGACAACACGAATTTCCAACCATTTCTCGCAAATCCCCTGAAAGGAAAGGAAGGTCTGGAAGGGATTCCTCAACTAGTAAAGACTTGTGCTCCTCTTTATTGAAAGATGTTTTTGCTATGGACCATGAGCTCAATGAATTAAGTCATGACAGGATATACACATGGTCACATGGTCCATTAGATTCGGTGCAGGGCGGAGGGACACATATATTCCTTTCTATTTTGGAGGGACATACAGAAATTAAATTGTTTGATATACTACTTTTTAACATATTGACACCTCATCCGGATCCTCTCCTCGATGAAATTGTCGATAAATGAAGTCTGTTTTTCTCATGACAGCTTTTGTCACCCCCATAGATTTTTGCAGGGCTTTGGTGGCACTAGTTCTTTGGGGCCTTCTTGAATCTGGATATTTTTGATTGGTGGCCTATGGACATTTGTTATTGCCACGTTGTAGTTGTGGGAAACAATTTATTTTCCAATCTATAAAAATTCGTATTTTTTCATTACCCTCTAAACATGGCCATGAGATTTGAGCCAACAATCTTGAAAGAGGTGTACCATTTTTGAAGGAGACCATTTCAATTCATATTCATTTCGATTGTTATCTTCCTTCCCAGACGGTTACGAAATCCGGACCCTGTGCAAAGCCTTCACGGCAGAGGTCTTTTGCGGCTTTGGCGAGTGAGTGCTTTCTGCGCCATAATATCTATGCCATCACCCAATAGATATGGAATCCCAGAGGCGGCACTCAATCATTATTGCAGAAATACAAATATATTTGGTCGGCATAGAAAATTGAGTTGATTATATTCCGACGCGGCAATTGCTTCTGATTTGTGGGAATTACAATATTCCTCTTGATTCATTTTGATGGTCAATATATTTTCACGAAGGATCCCAAATACAATCGGGCAGTTCAGTCTGACCGAGCCCTCTGTCAAGCGATTGTCCAGGATAATCATCTGGTTGCAATGCGCGCGAAGAATATTTTCCATTCAATATTCATTCATGGTGATCATAAATCTAGAAATGATTTCATCTTCATGCATCAGGAACAGGCCCTTTTGGAAGGCAATATATCCGCAACAACACCCAGACTTTGAGTTCCTATTCGGACAACAAGGTCCTCGTCATATATCATTAAACCTTTGAATTCCTAAGTGGCATCCTCAAATCGTGGCAAAATCAATTGCAACAAAAATGCTCTTCATGGTGATGATACGTTCATTTACATTCCATTATTTGATGAAGGCGAAGTCGAATGGGACAGAAATTCAATCCTGGATATTGAGAAAGGGAAAGGGATTGATGAATTCGAGGCCATCCGTAAACATATCTATAAACCATCAAGCAAGCAACAGAATGATTGAGATCGATGAAATAGGACCCCCTGGATTTCTGTCTATCGATCAAGACATTAAAGAGGGCAAACCGATAATGATGATTATAACTATAATCAACAAGGGTCCAAATCTTACGAAGCTAACGAAGGCTTGGCCAATGACGAGTTGCCTCGATGATATAGATTCCCAGAACCAATACCCTATGAATTACAATAAGAATGGCTTGATATGATGTCTGATTTCATCCACGGAATATTTAATGGTACAGACGCAAATGATATGCCCAAGGACCCAACGTATATGCAAGTGGAAGCCTACGCAATACACCAGAGGACTACAATTGAAGAGGCATAATATGGTTTCCATGGAGAACTCCCAATTGGAAGATTTGCATTGCAAGCAATAGCTTTTGGTTACACTCCAGAAAGCTTCAGGGAATCAACCAAAGAGGAAATCGAGGATCGAGGAGCTAAAGCGAACGAGAACACATTCGATAACAAGGATGGTTCGCAAATATGTGCATACTATAAACAATTCAATATTAAATTATATTATTGCTTCGAAGAGGACCTGAACGGCACAAAGAACAATCTCCGATATCCTCTATTCAAGACCCATATCCAATTGGGACAGGAGAATATTATTGGTGATGGATCAAAGGAAGGTCAAATTGCCTCCATTCACACAAGTAATATTGTTTAAAATGGCAAAGCACACCGACGACTAGGCTTTCCGGAGGAAATCAAAAGATTTGTTGATAGATATGACTATGAC